TTTTTTTTTTTTTTTTTTTTTGTCACAGCAGGGTCGTCATCTGGTGTGGAGTCCTAACCTGTCTCATGCTTTGATGGTCTTTTCAAATCATGAATACAGGGTGACTCAATAGTCACAGGACATCCTTTTATTTCAGAAAAAAAAACTGACTGCCCCAGCAAATCATGGGTGAGGGGGCGGGACTATCTTTTCTGCAATGTCCAGAACATGGCTGCCATCTTGAAAGCAGCCACATTGGCTCAAAATAAAAGGGTGTACTTTGGTTTTTGACTCAACCTGTGTTATAAATCAGTCAATTATCTTACATTTCATAAAATCACATTATTTTTAAATCCTGTTGACAGGATCCACATTCTGGACAGTGAAGGGCTCCGTTATCAAAGGAAAGCCAAGAGAACTCAGCTTCTTTGGATTTCCAGCTTGGGTGCAGGCTGTTGATGCTGCGGTGCACATCGTCAGAACGGGCCGTACCCTCTTCTTCATGCAGAATATGTACTGGAGGTATAACCAGATGCTATTTATTTCCATGTTTGCACATCAAGTGAAATTTATCTTTATTTTCTTTTTGTTCAAATTTATTTGAGTACAAGTTTATCTCAGCATTGCTCGACTCCAGATGAATATAAAGCCTTTGTTAGTCCTGCGTGGTCCAAGAAAATGGAAACATAAAACAAATACGCAAGCTCTACAGATAGACTGAAATCAAAATAAACTCTATCAGCGTATGTGTGTAATCTCTGGTTTGATAAACTCACAAAGCCGTGACAGTGATAGGTATTTGCTTTGTMTTGTTTTCAGTTACAATGAAAACCGGAAGGTGATGGACTTCGGTTACCCAAAGTACATCAGRGAGGACTTCCCTGGAGTCAACGCCACGATAAACGCAGCTTTTTATAAACAAAGTGAGCAAACTAAATGTCTTAAATGTTTGCAGGATAGCAAAGTTTATGTAGACATTTCATGTGTGTGTTTGTGGCTTTAGGGAGTTTTTACAGTTTGTTATTAGTAGCACAGGAATGCTAATTCGCATGCAGTCGCTGTTAAATAAAGTCGGTTATTCTTGGCTGCAGTCTGATTTAAATGCTAAAATTAGACATTTTAATTTACCTGTAGGCAAAATCAGATATTTGAGTTTAGAAGACAGTAGCAGCACATGTGATCCAGTTGTGAATTGTCCTGTTTGGTTCCTGAAGGTTTCTCTCATTTTGTTTTAGACCTCATCTACTTCTTCATGGGACATCAGGTCTTCAAATTCGACTACACCCTCAAACATATTGTCGGGGTTGAGGCAGCTAATTCCTGGCTCGGCTGCTGACATGACTTTATGAATCACGCCGTGCAAAGAAACAATTAGAAAGCACCTGTTGCTGTTCTTCGTGGACCTTGTTGGTTATGGTTTATTGAGATTTTTTAAAGCTTACAATGTAAACGAAATGCTGTTTGAATGTAAAATGTTCTGCCTGAYCAGAGTCTGTGGTTGGTGGGGCATAACTGTTTTTATCTGCAGGCTGTGCAGACGGATGTGCAGACAAGGCAGAGACTAATTTAGGCTTTCCTCACAAACAGCTGCAGGTTTTAACTCGACTTCAACAGAAACGTTATTATCTATACCATGAAGCACTCAGTGTTTACCATCGTCCCAGACATATGTCGATGTTTCATTGGAGGTTATAACCGCAAAACCTCCAGAAAATTACTGCAGGTACAGCTCTGTAACTACCAGGACCGAGCTGGTTCGGGTCACGTGACCGCTTCAGAACTTCATAAATACGAGCATGTAAAACATGCAGCCCTGGAGGAAGTGAACATTTAAAACATGGAGTTGTTCTGGATGTGGGCACTGGTTTTGGGCTCCATGATGTTTGGGGAAATATGGACTCGACCCGTTCACGAGGATCAGCAGCTGAGGCAGGAGGATGTGAAGCTGGCTGAGGTTTGTGGGTCAAAATAACTGCTGAATCGATCAGTTCATTTCAGAAATGCATATTACAGTGCTGGTTGTTGTCGTTTTTCACTTTATGTTTGGATTAAAATTTAGTTTGCAAAAAGTAAAATATGAGTATTTATTTTACTTTTCTTCTTTTAAAGTTAAGATAAAATTGTTACTCATTGATGAACTTTCAGTGGCATTTATTTTTCTTCATTAAACAAAATGTAGCACTTTTTTGTGTAATTTAAACAGTGAAAGTTTGTGTCTTAATGATCAACCTTTTATTCAGTCTTGTTCTAAAACTGGAGGATTGTTGTAAAGGGTGCCAAAGCAACTCCTGCCTGAAACTCCAAATCTGTGTTGACATATGAACTATTAAAAAGTAAAGAGAATAAACAATATTTAAAATATCAAAGCTGCTGTCAGTGGATAATTACAGTCACCATGGGAACTACGCACCTGCATCTGTCACTCCCTGACAGTGTACTCCAAGGAAGACAGGTAGAGAAATGAAAATGAAGTAAGGGTAAAAAAACAGTTGCTGAAGAAGAAAGAAACTGGGACCTTTTACATACAGTACTTGTCTACAGGGTTTTCTGTAGAAAATATGACCACCTTAAAAAAATGCTAGTAGTCATGTAGTAGTCATGCTAGTATCTGACAGTTTAGAAATAAAATAATTTAATGGTGTTATTCTTTCCACCGTATTAGAAATATAATTTAATTTGTGTTTGAGGAGTCTTTGTGAGTCAAGCTGTCCTTCAGTCATCAATGTTTTAAGTATTTTCTTTTTCTTTATTTTGATCAAACAAAAGCACTAAAGGACTTCCCATACATATTTTGTCAAATTTGCTGACAAAAAGTTATTGTTTTCTATTGTATTCTAAAAATGAATGAAATATAAAAATAAATTTAATATTGTCACCAATAACTACACAGTCAGTGCATCATCAATCTAAAAACATACAGTTTCGTGCAGAGTAATTTTGGTTATTTGCATGTTGTTTGGTCCATCCATCCATCCATCCATCCATCCATCCATCCATCCATCCATCCATCCATCCATCCATCCATCCATCCATCCATCCATCCATCCATCCATC